CTATTATTGCTATTCATCTTTTCTTTTGTATTAAATCCCCCGCCATGTAAAAATTACATTAGACGTTGATTAATCTGATGAAGCCAAGTAGAATTGCAAAAGCAACATCATCACATATTTAATCATTCCAACGTAGTAATATTGCCAAAATTAAACGATAATAAAATACTTCCTGATCTTAATATAAGACCTATTTAACTAATTTGATTAGATTAAGAAAGTTAGGTAAGTTAGTTAATTATAAAAAATATGTCATATTTTTTCTAAAACACCATAATCATCTTCCTTAATATCATCCCTCCATTTTCTACTTGATTATGGTGGAGCGAGTATACATAGGAGTAATTTAGAAAAAATTGATAAATATAAGATATAAGTTTTATATTTAAGACCAAAATCAACTCAATAATTAGGTCTTATATTAAAGATTAGGAGGGTATAAAATTAGCAACTAGTTTATTTTTTTAATTCACTCAGATGACTTTCATGGGAAGCTCAAATCAAATCAACCGCTGTCTCTTTTTTGCAAGGATTGAGGATGGAAGCACTAAACAGGGAGAGATACAGGCCTCTCCGTTTCTTTTCCTTCCTCTTCTTTTGTGATCATCATAACCAGTAAATCAGAGTTTTAACAGAATTATGTCAAAAAAAATTAAATTTGAACCAAAGGTGAGGATACCAAAAGGACAGCAAGAACTAGAGAGAGAAAAGAAAAGGGCTGTCTTTTAAGTTTAGAAGTATTCCCTCTGAATCCTCAAAACTTGGACTTTTCAGAGAAAAGAAAGAGAAGAAAAAGCTATTGGCCCGTTGCAAACAACACAATTGACCAAGATAACATGCATGACGCTCTTCTGCTCTCCTGGTCATCATGAGAACTGTAAATCAACAATTTTAGAGATATTCATGATGCACACTGATGCACATACCCACATCGTGTGTGTATGTATTATCGTGTGTGTATATCTATCTACATACACTATATGTACTAAAGCTGGTAAGCAGGGCCAGCCCGCCAGTGCGCCATTCGAGTTGACAAAATGCCAACCTGTCAAGGTGCGAGCTACTTCAGCCTGTATCGTTTTCAGCCCGTTCTGCTGCGGGCTAGCCTGCTTTTTTTTTTTTTTTTAAATTTTTATACAATTCTCAATATATTATACCACATAATTGGAGGATTTGACCCTTAAATTTTATATTTACATCTCCTCATTCATGTAATTGCATATGTAATACATGCGTAAAAGATCTGGTTAATTAATTTGGATAAAAAAAATAATCAAATTAATTATTCAAAAAAATATGTGTTGGTTTTTTTAGAATATCTTTTCAAATTATAAATTAATTATCACATTATTTTATTATAACCCGCTACTTTAATTTAAAACTTCAAACCTAATTTCAATATTACAAACTAAACTCAATTTACACAAGTAATAATAATTTTTTTTAAAAGAAAAATTTAGGCGGGCCAGCTGGATACTAGCCAGCCTTGGCGGGCTCGAGCTAGCAAAATGCCAGCGCACCAAGGTGCGGGCTACTTTAGCCCGCACCACTTTCGGTCCCTATCCGTACCGCCAGCCTGCATTACCAACTCTAATATGTAAATGTGTATATATTATGTTCGATCTTCAATATAAGAGTTAGTTAGAGATTCATTTTCGTCCTAAATATTATATATCAATTCACTTTATTTCTCATAGTTATTTTTTTTAAAGGAGTTCTCATGATGATCAACATAATTAAGAAAGATATTCTAAAAAAAATAACACTCATTTATTATACATAATTAATTTTAATTTTTTATTTTTATAAATTAATTATCTAATTCTTATATGTATTTAAAACGAAAAGGCGAAGGCGTTATTTACTATCATGATTAAAAAACTGTTTATAAACTGTGCTACACAGGTCCGAAAATAATATATTCTCGATACGCCGGCGGTGGCTAGACGTTGCCTGACCGGCCTGCAAAGAAAGCATGATAAAGCAATAATGAAGGATGAGAAGACATAGAAAGTCCTCCTTGAAGGCGGGCTTGCACTTGCATGTGTTACTGCTGTCGTCTTAGGATTTGACAACACCCAAGCCGATACCAGTCAACATACTTTGATACTTATGCGATTTATTAGCTTTTAATTAAAATACAAAGTACATGCATTATTTTACATGAATTTTAATTAAAAATATATAATTCAGCCACCCCGATTTTTTTTCCAAGGTCAGAAAAACGACCTAGATATTTTTTTTCCGTGTGTGTGACACGCCTAGATTCAAGATCATAGAATCATTGGCATTTATTATTTGGAAATATTTCGTTTCCTGTATTTTATTAAAAAATTATATCAATAACATATTAGATCATCAATATAAAATATATAATTTATGACAAGCCAATTTTCTTACAAACTATAAATAGTATTAATACATTTTGAATTCCACGCCATATAAAAGAATTATCTAATTTTACATTTATCTAAAACTCAAATCACAAACATATGCACCAAACACATACAGTGGCTTATGAATAATCCATGTGGCCTTTCTAGAAGGGAACAAGTAGTCCATTCTTCAACATCTTTATTTACCAATTAAATTCATCATAATATTATTCATATCGTGTTAAAAATAAAAATAAAGTGATATTTTGTATGGCTGGGTGATTTTTTTCTATTTTAAAACAACTTTATATGAATATCATATTTCTAATTATATTTATATAGAAGGGAAAATGTGAAATAAAAAACTAAACCATTAAAATTAAATAATATGCATGTATTAAAAATAGGATTTGATTTTGATATCAGGGTTTGAGTGTTTTTTGTTTTTTTGGAGTTGCACGTTCACTATTGCTGATAAATATGAGTCTTGTTAGAACCTTTACATTGGGCCTGGGATTCAATGACATGAAATTGACATCCCTATGTGATATTTTTGGCCCAAAAGTATTTGTTTTTGCTCTCTCTTGCATGGAAAGATTCATGTTTTTTCTTTCTAAAGTATACATATTTTTTTATTAGAGATAATCCTATTTGAAACATCGTCATATACTAAATATAGACATATCTTCTAACAGATACTCAAATCTTGATTCGTCATGTTGTGAGAAATCAGTTCTTTTTGTTAGACCCAACCCTTATGGTATGAAAGATTCATGCTGCTATCACCAAATTAGAAGTTGTGTGAGAATTGAATTTCCGCCTTTTGGGTTAAAAAACAAATTTACAGTCACCAAATTACTGAGTGCTCATTTGATCAAGCGTGGGAGCTCAACTAAATCTATTTGAGCCTAAATTAAGTGATTATGATGTCTATTTATTTTGTTTGGTTAAATTTTTTAAGATCCCAATATATCGTAGTTTTAGGGGGTGTTTGGATGTCTTCAAAAGTGCTTCTCAGAAGCACTTTTCTGTAAATCGAGATAAACTCCTCCATATATTTACCTCGTAGACCGTAAAATCACTTCCGAAACCATGGTTTGGTTTTTATCCAAACACTTTCTTAGTCTCTATCACACATTTGAGCATAAGGTATCAGAAGTTGTTTTTGCATTGGAAAATCCTGGTAGAGTTTCAACCACGACAATTTCTCCTATATACCCTTGTTAGTAACTATTATTAAATTAAAATTATACTATAATGATGATGATTATTATTAATACCTATAAAATATATTAAATTATATTTCTTTCATTTTCCCTTGTTGCTTTTTGATAATTATATATCTATAGGTTATTTCAATAAATGAAATCTATACATAATTCATTTTTGAAGTTACTCTTACAAAAAGTATCCAAACAGAAATTACAATTAACCAATATCACTTTTAAACCAATCACTTTTAAATATTACTAACATCTAAAATTATAGTTATATATTGCAAATCCAAACGAGCATTGAATCCACTTATTACTATGATAAAATTATTATATATATATAAAAAATATTAGTATCAACCCATTTAAATTATAAATTGTGTAAATGCAATATATACATAGACATGTCTTAAGAAAGAAAATATAATACAAATTATATATATATCTAATAAATGTATTTTCAAAGCTTAATCTCCCACACACTAGTGGCTAGCCATAAAAGCTCTAGTGGCTATTCTTATTTAACATTTGATTTATAATTTTGTTATTTGCTATTTGATTTTTAAAGTTCTGATGATTGTTCTTATCTAAGTTATTAATGATTCTAATTTTGGATATTAATTACTTTTATTTTCAGATTCATGATAACTAATTTTATTTAACTATCTACTATTTTAATTTTGTTATTCACTATTCTTATTTCTCAAATGTCATAATAAACTGCTCTCATGGAACATATTCGTGGGTAAAGTGATGCACAAAAAAAAAAAAAAGATATTAACAAAAGTAGTAATTGGAGCTACTGATATATTTTTTCTGAATTTTTAAAACAAAATAATAAATAGTGAAACTAGAATAATAAATAATTAAATAAAAATGCTCACAGAATTTTCACAAGCGCTTAATACATTTTTTTTTTAATTTTGGATTAAAAATGGCCCATAACAAAATTAGAACAGTCAATAATTAAACGAGAATAGCTGTTAAAGTTCTAAAAACAAAAATAATAACTAAACAAAAATAACTATCCCAGTTAATAGCCTTCAAAGGTATTATGAAAAAGTGAAGGACCTCATTTTGTAACATTTCAAAATACTAAATCGGTCTCATTATAGTTTTTTGATATTTTGAACTTCGAAATTACCGATGCGTGACTTAGTATTTTTAAGAGTAATTTTTTAATCATTTTACTAAAAATTATAAGTTTTTAAGAAATGATTTTACTATAGAATATCATCATGTAAGATTAGTTTTGGTTGGACACTTTTCGGCCTTGAATTTTGGTGGGATACTTGGATTTAGGTAAAAATGTTTTTTTTTTTTTTTTAAGTAATCAATTGGGGCTACCAAGCTCTTTCTTTAGCCATCTTGCCGCGCCTCCCCCGTTCGGCTTCTTTGAATGAAGAAAGCGAGGGATTTGCTTAAAACCCTTGACAGTTGCAGAGCCCACCGAAGTTCGAACCTTGTGACTCTCGATCGCATGGCGGATTTATCAAATCGCTATTCTTACAACCCAACTCTTCAATGGAACCCTCAAGTTTATGACTACTTCGTCAAAGCTTATGGCTCCGACCACTTCTCTCGCATCTCTAAAGCTTTAACGTACTTTCTTTTCTCTCCCCCTCCTTACTCCTAACACTTCTTCTTCCCTCCAGTGCAATGCCTAGCAGTATATATGTTGATTGAAATGCGGACTGCACCTTCTGTGTCAGCTCTTTCTGGTTCTTAGTTGGAGCTAAATATGTAAATCACTCATTTACTAGCAAAACAAGGAAAGTTGGTTGTTAAGGTTTTTCCGTTTTAAGTTTTGTTTGAGAATTTCAGTTCTTGGTTCAAGGCTCATTGTTTCATCAAGTTCAAAGGCATCAGTTTTAGTGTACTTTCATGATCGCGTTGTTGAGAGCTGAGATGCCCGCCATTGATGTTGTGATGCCATTTTAGAGCTTTATTTGTCGGGAAAAACGTGCTTCCGTCACGAAGTTTTATGATTTATATGCGTGCGTGCGATTTTAAACTTTCATTATGCTGCTTAGTTACAGCAAAGTCGTCTTTTTTTTTCTTTTTTTTTTTTAATTTTTGAATTTGGGTGGTAATTAGAATTTGCATATATTTTTTAGGCGCCCGTCTTGCTACTCTTGTGTTCGTGTGAATACGCTCAGGTCTGCAAGTGACGATGTTATCGAGAAGCTGCAATCAGTAATGAATAAATCGGGATCTGATAATGATCTGGACTCAAAGTGTGGTTCAAGTGGGGCCAGTGATATCCAGGATTTAGAATTCAGTGGAAATATAACTCTGGGACAAACGGAAGATAAGGCTGATCCTTTGAAGACGTGTTTACAGGCTGCTTCAGTCTCGAAGTGTCAGATTCCGGGCCTAGATTATGTGGTACTTGTTCAGGGTTCGGGACCGCACAATATCAGTTATGATTATACACATGATAGACCTCCTAAGGAAGTCCTTGTTAGCAGGAAATGTGCCGAGGCAGTTCTTCGGGGTGCCCAGGTTATTAACTTCCCTTCTGTAAAATTAGTAACTTCCTATAGTTTGCCTCATTAAAAACTGTGGTTTCTTTGACTTCTTCATGTTGTCTTCTGCTACTATCATATTTCTGTCTTGTGTAAGCATCATGGGCATCAGAGCTTCTGTGTCCCAGGGGTGTTTTTACCACATCTTCTGATACATTTGCGCCTATTATTGAATGTTTTGAGCATGGTTGATTTAGTAAGCAAAAATGAAATTTCTCCCTGTCCCTTTGAGTGCTGGGCACAACCTGGCACAACCCCCAAAAAAAAAAGTGTAATCAGGATCTGATAATGTTATCTTTGCTTTTGGCTGATTTGACTTTCATCCAGTAAATATTAGACTCACTGGATACTTTTCCAAGTATCAATATTTTAATTTGGTGAGAAAGAAAAGATAGGAGAGTAAAATAATTAACTTGTATTCTGTGGACCAAGAGAGTGCGAAATTGAGCTTAAGATATCTTTAATACACACACAAAGATATTAATATTAACTTATTTTTTGATTGTTCTGTTATTTTCTTACTATTCTTAGTATATTGTGCCATCCAAGTCAATGAATCATGTAGAAGGAAATAAATTAGGATGCATCAGTGTGATGATGGATTGCTAGTCTTTAATTGGTTCCTTGTGTTTGTTTTCTTTCAGGTATATGTTCCTGGTGTAATGGCTTGCAGTGCTCATGTTGAGACAGGAGATACAGTTGCGGTCTCAGTTGCTGTGGAGCAGCCAGGTGTCAGTGGTGGATGGGGTATTGGTATGACACGTGGTACTGTACTACAAGGGTCACAAGCAGGTAGGGATTGTATTTCTATCTCAATTCTGAACATTATTTGGGAGGCCTATTCTTTATTTGACCCTGAAATGCTAGATGCTTGTTGACGGTAAAATATTTCATTGAAATAAAACTGAATTCTTTTATAAAATAAGAATGATGAAGTTTCCATGTCTTGTTATCTTACAGATCCTTATTATTTTGAACGGAGTGGGCTCTATATTGGCCAAGGAACAACGATGATGTCAAGGGCTGGAATGTTTCGTGTTTCTAAAGGAGTGGCTGTGGATATAAAGGATAGAGTATATGAACTTCCATCTTTTCATAGTAAAACACACTTCTTTCTATAGAGAATATTGTATTGTATCAGTTTTTTGGGGGTAGTTTTTCTATTGCTGCTTCACATATTTTGATTCATGTTTTTCACCATCGTTATGGCATTTTGGCATGATAAAGTCTTGATATTCATAATTCATGCAAGGACTCTGTAAAAGATTCATTTTTATACGTTCTTTTTGGTAACTATATTTCAGTAGTTTAATATGCTTTTTTGCCCTCATTTCCTCTCTTTTTCTGCTTACAAGAATGATATTATTAGGATAGAAGAGATGACAGGGAGGAAGGAACAGAATAATATTATTTTTCTCTGTTTGGAATATGACCTCTTCACCTCTGATCTTATGGGTTTCATAATGTCACACATGATCAGGTTGAGATCGACATCATCTTATAGAATGATGTTGCTTATTTAATTTATACAAGAGACTATTGTATAGTGGTATGTCTTTGATTGCAGCTGATTAGTGGGGTTGAGAAGCCATAGGATTGCATTTGGCATGGAGATTGTTGAAATTTCTTCTGCTTTTGGATTCTTAGTTTCAGGCTGTCTTTTTCTGTCGGGAGTGAAAATAAAGAACATTGATAATTAGTTCTCTGGGTTTCTGGAAGCTTGATGCTTGGATATTTTCACCATTGGTTAAGACACGTTTTCAAAAAAAAAGAAAAAAAGAAAAAGGCTTTTGCTATGCATGTTGAAGAAGTGTGAGTTTTATGAATTAAGGTGTTCTAGGGGGGTTTCTTATTTGGCTAGTGGAGGGAGCGGAGGCTTTGTCTAGCCTGTGCAACCAAAAGGTTTCTGATTGTTGGTGTTAAATCTAGCATCTGGTGGCTGGTGCAACTTGGATAAATATTTGTTGCTGTTGTGACTTAAGCAGTGCATATCATTTGGATCTTATCTCTCAGCATTCATCTTCATTTTTGGCTTGGCCATTGCTTTATTTGTGGTTGATATTCCTTCCCTCCTTTTCTTTTACTAATAATTACTAATACTTGTTTGGTGTTCTAAGCACGTGCACCCATGTGCACTGTGTTGCAAATAGACATTGCGTAGTGCTTACATTTTTGACTGTATGTGGATAGCTGCAGAATCATTTCCTTTTGGTTTTGCAGATTTGCTTGAGGGAGAAATATTTCTTCAAAACCTGCCAAGTATTATTGCTGCTCATGCTTTAGGTATATAAATTACAGCCTAGGTCTCATCCCCCCTCGCCCCATCTTCTTGAGTCGTTTAGAAAGTTACAGGTTTCTACTATACCCTTGATTGCAAGTGCTTTAAACTCTTCTCATATGCACAATTTATTTCAAGTCGTTGGAGACAATCTCAATAGATGTGCTTCTGCAAAACTCCTCATTTAGGATTATTAAGATAGTTAGGACCATGAACTTAATTATTTTTTGCTTTGTTTAAGCAATTTTATTTTGAATAAACATAGAATGTTAATCTGCTTATTCAGTTGGTTCTGATGTTTTTTATTTGTTGGATATTTAGAAATCTATAATTTTCAAATGTAAGTTGTCAGCTGCTTAAACAAGCTCTGTCCATAATCATGTGTACTTTTCCCGATAAAGTTGAATTCATGAATTTTTTTCCCTCTGTTATCATGATCATTGACTAGACTTGTTGGACTGGGGCCAGTCCGCACTCCACATTCTAGCTCCGACTTGATAATTGGGAGTCCATAAACAAGTCAGGAAGTAGCTGAACCCGGCGGTTTAACCGGTTTTGGTGAAAGCCATCTGGTTCAAGTGAGCCAACTACCTGTGACAAATATATCATTGCTCCATTAATGCTTGAAGTGGAATCAAACGTGTCATCTTACCCCTTTGGCACATGACTTGAGAACGGAAACTGGTAGAATCCTCTACTCTAATAAGCTTTGACAAACAATAAGCCGGAAATAGACTACGAACAATGTGGCGTTGATAATACTATAACTGAATAATATGGTCTGGATTACTAGGGAAATAATGATTCAAGACGAACCCAAATCCCTCATACGCCCACATTTCACCAATTACAATCAAATAATAATGACAGAAATATAAGAAACAGAACCAAAAAACACGTCAACACATTACAAAATCACAAAAACATAGAAGCAACACTGGCTTTTGAGACGCAGCCCTCTCCAAAACAAACCTTACTTCACTCCCAAAAGTCTGAACTCCCCTTTCCTTATGTAGAAAGGATGCTTACCCCTACTGACCTATCTTACTTGTCTATCAGCATCACCTTTTTATCCTTACGGCTAAAAACCTTGGGATATGTTTCTTGACCCCTGGTGTTACTCTTTCCTGCACCATTTCCCTTCCTATAGAATCTGCTATAGGTCTGAGGAAAAGACTTGTAAATCTTCTGTGAATCTTCAGCTCCATCAAAAACTTGCTATTTTGATTTTTAAAAAAAACATTTATACGTATTCAACATTGATCAGAAGAGGATTTTCATTTATATTTTGTTCTATTTCAGAGAATTATTTTGTAAAATTTACAATTGTGGTTAATTTATAATTATAAATTTGAAACTTATTTATACATATCAAAATACTGTTCTTTGTTCTTTGGCTTATCTTATCTCTGTCCGGGACTCATTTCTTTCTATCTGTCATTTATTTTTGCATCCTTTCTCTTAGATCCACAAAAGGGAGAGCGTATACTAGACATGTGTGCTGCACCTGGAGGGAAAACAACTGCAATTGCAATACTTATGAAAGATGACGGAGAGATCATTGCAGCTGATAGATCTCATAACAAGGTGAAAATTCTGTGCTTTTGATAGATCTCAAAACATACTTGATTAGTTAATGATCAAGATAGCATCCCATATATTACGTTTAAACTTTCGATAATCACTGGTAGAGCCAATTTCAGTAGCTCGGGGTTCTTATTTGAATATAATTTTATTATTATACTGTGATTGATTGTGCGTAATTGATATTCCATAATTATCAGGGGGCTTGAAATCTAATTCAGAACTCTGTTTAGGTTTCTTCATATTGAGCATTATCATGGAATGTATTTTGCTTGATACTAAAATTATATTTGTGGCATCACTTAATTCATAAAAGGAATTTAGATTTATCCATGTTCTTACCTGCATGATGTGTTTTATAAAATTTACGCAGCTTTAAAAGGAAGTGTAGGTGCTTCCAAGGTACTTAAACTTGGGTCCCTTGGCAGCAGTTGCATGTCGTATACCAGTAAGCTAGTTGGGCTTTCAATATAAGATGTGCATTTGCATGTATCGATATGTATTGTTCAAATAAGGTATAGCAAAAATAGTAAATTCTGTTTATATATACACATCTTCGTGTGTGTTGTGAATTTATTCTTTAAAAAATTATAAACTGTCGGTAAATATTTCTTAAGAGAAGTTAGTTTTAATTCATAATTTAGTATTTTTATGGACACAGAATTATCCTTGCTTAGATCTTCATTAAATATTAATATTCAATATAAAATTTTTAAAGCATTCATTTACTTTTTTTTTTTTTTTGGAAAAAAATGTAAATTCTGATGATATCATCTTTTAGTGAAGCTCTTAGTTCAGTAACTACTAACGAAGTTATAACTCAAGACTCAACGGCGCTTGAAGCAAATTGAAGAGGGTCCCCAGCCATATGGAAAGTGAAAACATGTATTTCCCCTGGCAAAACAGCCTGTTACAGAATTACTTACTCCTGGCTCATAACTGCTCTCTATTGACTCCAGTTAGAACTGGAAATGCTAAGATTGTGTTCAAAATATTCCTATTTTGTTTTCATTCTTGTCTTAATTATGTGTTTTAAGAATTTTCAATTCAAACTATTTATGTTCGATGGCTGTCTAGGTGATGGATATTCAGAAATTGGCAGCTGAAATGGGATTACGTTGCATAAAGACCTATAAATTAGATGCTCTTAAAGCTGTTTGCCGAAGAAATGAACCAGATAATTTGACCGGTTCATATTGTGGCAATGCTGACAATGATGTGACAGATCAAGTTCCTGATTCATCAATTTTAAATGCTGAAAGAATGCCATCTAGTGATATAAATTGGTTAAATGTTAATAAGACCGTGGAGGAAAATGGTAGGTACGGCCTGTCTTCTAGTGGCTATTTATTGCATTAATGCCATCAATTTTTTGTCTGTGCATTTTGTTGTCTAGGTTAGAAGATGGATGCACATATGGTGCTTTAGGAATTTGTTGTGTATCCAACCAACAGACCCTTCCTCCTCCTCTCACGCACACACTCAATCCCCCCCCCCCCCCACCCCAAAAAAAAAAAAAAACTAAGAAAAATAAATGAAAGGCAGCAGAAAGCAGCGCGCACACTCTTGCACCCTGCCTATGTCATGTGACTGCTGATCCATCACTGGCAAGCCGATCCTTTTCTTTTTTTTTTTCCCCCTTGACAAGGCTCAATATTGTTGAGACATGGTGTTTACATTAACAATCTAAACAGAATCATTGAATTATTTTATGTCTGATATTATTGTTGATACATTGTGGTGTTTCTATTCTCTTTCTTTCATAGTTGTTGTTGACGTGAACGTTATTTTTCTTTCAACCATCCATTAATTTGTTGTAAATAATCCAGCAGTTGGTAACAATGAAAAGGAAAAGAAAGGAACATATGCTAGCAAAGCTGAAATCCGGAAGAGTATGCGAAGGGAGCGAAATGGACCTGGAAGAAATCAGTCCCTGGGTGGGAGGGTTGAGAAGTCAAAAGGTTTTCCTCCTAACAGTTTTGATAGAGTTCTTCTTGACGCTCCTTGTTCTGCCCTTGGTTTAAGGCCTCGATTATTTGCTGGAGAGGTAGGAATGAAGTTGTAAATTGAAGTCCTGCATTTGCTTGTATCTAAATATCTATTCATGCATGGAGACCATTATGAAATACATAAATGAATATTTTGATAGGAATAAAGACCTCGTTAAGGTATTGTATAGAAATTAGAGGAGAGAGAGGAAGAATAAGTCTGGGAAGAAGAATGAGAGAGAGACAGAGGTGTGAGAGAGAGAGAGAGAGAGAGAGGAGGGAAAACTTATTCCCTTCACTTAAAAGCTATTCGCCAGTCTGATTAGCTGGCCCCTTATTTATAGACGTAAGGACTTAGTAACTAATACTAACTAACTTCCTCCTTTCTATTATATTTACATATCAGACCTGCATACCTTCAGGTATGGGTTGGAAAGTTGGATCCTTTGCTTTTATCTGCTTAATTAAAGCCATGTTTGTCAATGCTTGAATCTTCACTGGGCACTTGGATATGCAACAATAAAGCTGAAATTATTTGGAGGATAGTGTAGCAGTGATGAATGTTTGTATGCGATTGTTGTAATGCCTATGCAGTGAAATTAGCCAAAGGTACCCAGAAAATGCTATGGCCTGTCATTAAACGGCGTCTTTGATTCTAGTTTAAAAGAATAAGAAATCCATTACACCAACAATTAAAGTATGCTAGTGCAATGTGAAGTTGCCATATTCCTATGGCCTTCCCTTAGTTATGCATGTATTATTATTATTTATAATCCAATTTGTGTTTTGGTCTGTATCTCATATGCTATGTTTGGTGCCTGAATTGTTAGATCATAATGTTGGCAATATCATTTCTCTCTGCCTTAACTTCTTAGGAACTTGAAGCTGTTTGGATTTCTTATCTAGTTTGTCTCTAGATTACCTAGACATTCAAAATGTTGTCTGCAAGCCCTTATGCTGAAAGAGTCTAAGTATCTTAGCTGTATGTTGTGAAGATATTTTGCAAAAAGGTTAAATAGAGATTTGTAACTTACCAACATTGCATACCATTTTTTCTTTATGCTAGTTTTATGTTTTAATATCTGTGATCACCTTGATCAATAGTGAATATCAAAAGACAGTAATGACCGCAACTCTTTGTTTATGATAGGAAACAATTGAATCCTTAAGAGCGCACGCAAAATACCAAAGGAGAATGTTTGACCAGGCTGTTCAATTAGCTCGTCCTGGTGGAGTAATTGTGTATTCCACGTAAGTATTGATATATGGTATTTTTTGTCATATTGCTATATAGATTTTTTACCTCATTGTCACTTTTTTCATCTCTCCTTCTGATCCTGTATTTTCTAGAATTTCACTCATGTTGATGCGTCTATATTAGAGATATAAGTTAGCCAATGCACTAGTGCAAGTGATAAGTATAATGAATTGGAGTGCCAATCTCCCTGGAATGGCTCTGCATTTATTAAAGATTTTCAGAAGTATTTTTTGTTAGTTTATGATTCTATCTACAAGCATGAGAATATTTACAACGGGCATACTAAATTTCTTTTGTTTCTACTGAGATAGATATTTTATAAAGACATACAAAAGGTAGGAAGATAAGAAGTCTCAAAATAGACTAAAAACTCGACATGCAATGATTCACATGATTCAATTCAGTATGGACAACGTCTAATTACCGTAGAATAGCACGGCCAGGCAATTTTTTGAAACTTAGATAGCAATATTCCTATGATGTTATCCTCTAAACCCAAGTTGGTTAAGCTCAATTAATGCGGGTAATCCCAAAGGCAATACATTCCAAATGAACTCATTCACTGGACGAAAGATCCTTGAAAATTTTGATCCTTTAGGTACTGCGATTTTAACTCTCAGTTTATCACCAAGATGCCCGAATTGGCTTAATAGAATTTGTATCTCTTGACCCATGAAGCCCATGGTGTCTGTTCTTATGCGGTGGAGCTTCTCCCCCCCCTTCCCTCTGGCTGTGTATACTATTTCTCTGAACTGCATTATAGTGGTAGCCTTAAATAAATTATTGTAAACCACCTAGCTCCTGGTTCAGACGTTGTGCTTGCTGCTAAAATGTGTGTCCATGGGATTCTAGATTTAAATATTTGTTTGTCAGTTATCTTAAAGTTTGTTGCTGCCTTTGCCGCGGTCAAACCATTATGTTTGCAGAATTCAGTTTCCCAGCATGCACATAATTTTATCTGTTTTATTTTCTGTTAATGTTTTATTCATTTTTTACATGTTAGTTGTACAATAAATCCTGGTGAGAATGAAGCATTGGTTCGATATGCTTTGGACACATACAATTATCTGTCATTGGCCCCACAGGTTTGAAACCATATATGCCCCACATTTTACCTTTGTGTACATGATAAGGGTTCTTGAAATCTAAAGCTGAATCATTAATCTTTAGAATTGATTGATATGCTGGTATCATGAAAAATTGATTGATATCCTGAAATATCTATGTTTAAAAATTGAAAGGTATATAATTAAGTGAACGGTGATGCCTCTTAAATATGCTAGGCATCTGTAATAATTTTCTCTGTGTAGTCTTGTCTGGTAAATAAAAATGTATTTATTTAGATTTAACTTTGATATTTAGTTTTCCTTCGACATAATTTCATATTGCTTGAGTTATTAATATTTTATATTTGATTTGTACCAGAACCCTAGAGTTGGAGGACCTGGACTGGTTGGTCGCTGTGAATTTCCTGATGGATATGTAGAGTAAGAACTTTCTTCGATTTTAAAGATAATCAGGCGTGTCTTATTAGTGATATTGTTTGCTTCGTTTCAAATTAATATTTGCTTGGAGAGCTTACTGCTCTGTTTCTTTTCTGTATGGTTTTCCTACCCTTGTATTCAAAACAAATGACATTTGCAGGAAATTATTGCATCTTAAAATCTTTTGTTGTAGCTATTGAAGATATAACTTTTTCAATGGGGTAGGAAAATTATGTGGGGGATTTTTTATTGTTCTTGAATCAGAGATGAGTTAGACAAGTTAGGCTTGGGTTGATCACAGTTGAGTAATAGACATGTTACTGTCTCTAACCCTTTTATGTTCTTGCATTTGACTTTGTTTACAAATTCTCCTCTCCTTATATCTATCACTCCGTTGCTTCCTTGCTTTCTCAGTCTGTCCATTGCATGTCCATGTCTCTCTAATATTCGAAGTCAAACTTTATCCTTTTATATCGTTGGGAAAATAGGGAGAGCATAAATTAGGGAGGAAAGGAGGACCAAACAAATGGGAAAACATTCATTTTCCCGGTAATTGTGTCTTAGTAAACATTGGGATATAGTGCTTAATTTTAGATGGAGGAGCTCTACTTTCTTGCAACCTTTGGCTTGAAGTTGTGGTTGTGGCCTGTATTGGTTGTTTTGTCTTGTGTGCATCTACATGCTGTACTAACGATTACGCACATATGACATAGATTTTCCTCAACACTATTTTATTATTTCCATTGCCTTGTGATGTTAAATTGTTATTGAACTTGATGATTGGGCCACCTAATGATGTTATATTGGTTGCTTTCTCTGGGAATTTCGTAAGTGAAATGTTTGTAATCTTATTTCATCAATAGCCTTACTGCATCAGATTCGTGCCCAATATTTTGTTGTAGGTTTTTTTTATTGGGTTTTAATGAGACCCGGTATCTACTTGACTAACATTTACACCATATAATAATACTATCAAACTCAAGAACATAGTAAAATGCTGATAATTACTATTTTTCCGTGCATAGGGAGTGGTTAAGACCTGGTGAGGAAGAACTTGTGCAGAGGTTTGACCCATCCTCTCCGCTTGACACAATTGGGTTTTTCATTGCTAAATTTGCTGTTGGATCTAAAGATACCATGTGACTTTGGGAGCGTTACCCTCGGTAGCTGGGTCCATCTTACTTCAGAATAGCCATTGGAGCTGGCCCTCCACCGGACTTTGGAAATCTCTTAATTATGACGCGACATGTGCTCTAGGAGTGTAATGGAGGAGATGCGGTAAAAAGAGAGACAAGGTGAGATTCTCTCCTCAATGGGTCTCGCCCCTTATTTCTGAGGGAGAATTACTATGAAGTTCCAAGAAATAAACGTAATTATTAAAAGGTCTCATAACTAGCGAGAGCATGCAAGGCAATAATAATAGTTTCATGCTAATAACTTGTTATCGGAACTTGATCCTCTCTACTATTTGAGAGCATTCAAGTTACATATGCTCCATGTTACTGAAGCTTTCTCTTTGGATCTGGTCCTCACTTCATACCCTAAAAAGCAATGCCACTGAAGGTGGTCGAGGAGATTTTTTAAGCACAAGACTTGGTCGCAGTTTTTCAGAGCGTTTGCTAACAGACTCTTTGATAAGAATTACTTGTAAAGCAAAGATGAAGGAATTGTTTGAGTAACCAAATCATGTAGCGTTAATTCTCAAAAGAATTTCACTTGTAATATTCTTATTGAGGCGTTTAGTAGTGAATATTAGAAAATGACCTGTTCTGTCATTATTGTATTTGGCTACTGTAAGGGAGAGCCACATGCGCACATTCTATGCATCGATGCAAGAAACCAGGAAAGTGCAGATTATTGAAGCCCTTTAGTAGCGAATATTAGAAAATTATTAACATGGTTTTGATTAGTTTTTTGGAAGTAGTTTTATGATATTCGAAATAAGTATGTGAGTAGAATTGTCTTGATTTGTGTAAAAATAAGTGCTATTTTCCAGCTCCCCTTGTTCTAAGTATGCATGTATTCTAATAATAAGTGTATTTATGTGATTGAGTTCGGTGAGTTAAGGATAACACGTTGAGAGTTATTGTGAGACAAACAGTAAACTATGAAAATTTTAAATTGAACATGCTTGAAAATTTGTCACTTGTAAAATGAGTACCTTCAAAAATGAAGGGGTGCCTCATAAAAGGGAAAGAGGATAATAAACAAAGGAGAGGTCAGATCAGGCAATGGCTGAGGGGACAAGTGAGTGTGTGGCTGTGGTATTTTGCGCATCCAATCCAAAGTCTGTTCATTGCATTTGCGCTATTACAACTCCAAAAGCAAGCTTGACCGTCCAAATTGATAACAATATCTTAGCTGTATATTCCAACATGCCCCACAGGCGCTTCCCTGCGGAGGGTTACTTGGGCTATCCAACTCTCTCGACTAATTTTTGAGATGCGGCTCTTTCAAGAACTTATCCTCCTCACATGAGCCAATCTCTTTCTCGTCACTATTCCACGAAATCATTTAGATCAAATATTAATAATATAAACTAATTATATATTTTAGAAAGTCATCGATTAGTATTTTTTGGCCTGTGAAATTTGAGCCTAGTTTGATTTTGGCTTCTTAAATTTCAAAGATGTGGTTTGCTAAAGTTTAATCAGTCTTAAAATATTAGTCTCTAGAGATGTAACGGCATTAAAATCTGTTGAAGTGTCATAAACAACATTGAAATAGTGATGTGGCTTCACTAGATGGCACATAGCTGGATCTTGTGTGAATATCAAAGAGAGAGAGAGAGAGAGAGAGAGGAGAACATCTCCTTAAAATGCAACTGTTTAGCTCATTTTTTTCTTGATGTTCATTTGAGGAGTTATTCATTGTGTTTTGTTTAAAGAATTTATCCCTTTTCATATAATGATCCGCTCTCTGCATTGTGTTTTAAGAACCTATTCTTTTTTTGTCATATTTTGATTTTGGTCTCTTAAGTTTCAAATCCATAATTTTAGTTCTTGGGATGTAACGATATTAAAATATACTGAAATATTATAAATGACATTGAAGTAGTGACGTGGACTCAGTAAATGATATATAGCTGGACTTATGTGAATATCAGAGAGAGAGAGAGAGAAAGAGAGAAGTACAAGTCCTTAAAACCTAACTGTTTAGCCCCTTTTTTTTCTCGATATTCGTTTGAGGAACTATTCACTATGTTGCATTTTGAAAACTCATCCTTTTTATATAATCAATCATTCTCTACATTGGGTTTCAATGACCTATTTTTTTCTTCCTATTATTCACATAAGATCCAATTATACGTAATTTGGTGAGTCCACCCCACCATTTTAAATCTTTAATGCCATTTATGACACGTTAACCTATTTTAACACCGTTATATCTTTTCAGGACTTTTTTTTTACCAGCTATCTTTTCAAGACTAATATTTCAAGAGGGATTAACTTTTGAGAACTAAAATTACATATTTAAAATTTGAGAGCAAAATTAAAATTCGTCCAAGTTTGAGAGTAGAGAAATTGTACTGATCTGATCTAAAATATCATTTAATCAGATGGTCCATGGTCCACCGCTATAGTGGACCATGTGCTCACTACGAATCGTAACTTTTTTGACTGCCAATTTATTTTTCATGCATTATTCCCACGGATTTGAATGAGTTTATGACTTGAAGCCAAAATTTCAAGATTAGGGAAGCTGCAAGAAAATAAAGAAAAATCTACTTGCTAAAAAAGAAGGAATGATAGTTCGTCTTGATATCATTATTATTATCTTTTATTTCCATGTTCCGCTTTCTCTCTTCTAATACCTTGATATTACATAGAATGATAGATGAACACAACACAGACACTCCTGGAAACTCCTTTTTTGCTCTTTTGGCTTCTCAGTGATAAACACAGACCAATTTTTTAGCACTCAAACTAGGTACTTTCTCTGTTTTTTTTTTTAAAAACCTATTAGCTCATTAGTTAACTAGTAGACGAAGCTATAAATCATCCCATAAGCAGCCATAACTTGCCTCATAGCAGATATTTCCTTCACAGACCTGAGAGCCAAATTCTGCATTATGAGTAACACACCCAAAATCCACCATCATCCCAACCATATCATCATCATCTTCAGGATACCAGTTCATTATCATTTGTTCGTTTTGTGAAGTGGGTTCCATCTCCATCATATTATTATTGTTATTATTCATCCACTCAAACTCAATATTGCAGCAGCCTTCTTGTTGCTGATGATCTGATGAACATGTAATTTTCTGCTTCTGATTCTCATCTTGTTGCCTTTTGTCCACCGTTTTGTTATCTTTCTGTGCAGATTCTTCCAAACATGCAACATTATCAGCTTCAACCTTCTCTCCTTGTTCTTCTAGCAGTTCTCTCAGAAGAGCTTCGTCGATTTCAATGACCTCCAATTCCTCCAACTCCAGTAGCCCCACATGACTATTAATATTATCTTCAGTTTCTAAGGCCATAAAAGGGAAAAAATGGAGAGAGATATGGAAGAAGATAGGAAGGAGGAGATTAAACGAAAAGGGTTATCTGAAACACTTGCATGTTGTTGAATTATAATGGAAGCTTTATATAGATGGAGATAAGGTAAAAGGGCCATGTCATGAAAGCTACATGCACCTAATATTGCTAAAAGAAATAGATACACAAACCTAGAAACGTGAGAGACTAAACAAAAGGTTTGTGAGAAAAAGCGAGAAGGTCCTTTTTACTGTATATACATATGCAGGTACTTATCTGCTAGGATACGGCATTTATCTCAGTGATGGCTTGGATGTAATATTGAGAATGAGAGGCACGCGTTTTTGTGCTTCTGCCTCTCCTTTTTTTTTTTTTTTTAAAGGGTTCATAATATACAGATATGGAGGAATCTTTAGATATACAAAATGATGTGTGTGTGTGTGTGTAGGGTAAAGTGTTAGTACTCTTTCTTTAAGGTTAAAAAAAAGTACTCTTTCTTCAACAAATTCAAATTTTGCCGTAATAGATTGATATTGAATGAGTCAAACATATTATTAGACTACATTCACATGAAAACAATTAATATAAAATCTAAAAAATAGGCAATTATACTATTAAGGAGTTTGTGGGTCTTAAACCTTGTGCAGATAGATTAAGCCAAATCTAGTGTCACTGATATTCTCTCCGGATCTAAATATAAGAGTTAAATAATAAATTAATAGAGATTAATAAAATTAGTTGAGTTATAAGTAGAACACGTATGTGTGTTGATTTTTCTAAAATATTTTTTTTAATCATCTCTATAAAACCAAAACAATTCTTTCATTTTTATTATGATAAAGAAAGTAATATATAGGTGGACGAAGAAAGAACGATCTTTCCTGATGACAGAAAAAAAAAGAAGGAGCTATCTAATTAAATTATACTCCTCCGGTCCTTATTATAAGACCCAATTTGACTTTTTATTTGGTTCTAATTATAAGACCCAATCCATTTTCTCTTTTATATTTATGCATTTTTTCCAAGATAATCCTTCTAATAATGATAGTTTTAGCCAATATACTTAATTGGCAAGGATATTTTAGGAATAACAACACTTATTTATTATAAATAACTAACTTAACTTACTTCCTTAATCTCCTCAAATAAGTCAATTGGGTCTTATAATTAGGACCGGAAGAGTATATGTGTATGTTGTGGGTAAGATAGAAAAAAACAAACAAAAAGGTAAATGGTAGAGGGATAAGGAAGTGTGAGGCCATCGTGCTTTGCTATCCAAAGGAGGGACGTTTCCTTATGCCAATTTGCTATAACATGCCATGTTGCTTTTTTAAAGGATTTTGGCAACTTGTTATGATGCCAACATATCCACGTCCTATCTCGGATGATCAATAACACTGAACTAATTTGATATTTAATTTAATCCTTAATATAAAATTTTAATTCATTTTGTGTTCCATATTTATCAATTTTTTTAAAGTAATTCTTGTAATAGTTATATGTGTTAAAGATTTCATCAAATAATAATTCTAATTAATATACGTGATTCGTATGAATATTTAAAGAAAGACAACACCTATTTATTATGGATAACTAACTTAACAAACTTTTTTAATCTACTCAAATTAGTTAACTAATTCTTATATCAAATAGCAGGGATAATGTATTGGTTGTTTTCATGCACTTTCTTACACGCGACTTTCGTTCACCTTTTGTCCCTTTTTTTTTTTTTGCTGTGCTTTTTGGATTATTTTATCTTTTGTCAGTGGTGTTCATATGTACGCGTTAGTTTCATATCTAAAATAAAATAAATAAATCAAGGAAAAATTAATTTTTTTACAAACTTATTTATAACTCAATCCTTAAATTATGACTCGGAAGAATTCCATTCTTGGACTTTTAACTCTTTGTATTAGAGATTAAATTATTAAATGTGTAAATACTATTTTCAACCCTTAATATAAGACTTAATTGGAGATTTAATTTAATTCTAAGTATAAGACTCAAATTCACTTTGTCTTTAATATTTATCTATTTTACCCTCTAGAAATCCCTATAGTGATTGCATATATTATAAAAGTTTATCAAGAGGTAATTCAAATACATATAATTAATAAGAATATTTAAAAAAAATAATATCTATTTATTACAAATTACAAATTTAACTAATTTTTTTAATATTTGTAAATTAGTTATATAGCTTTTATATTAATGACCAGAGGTTATATTAGAGATTCAGTCATAAGTAAGTTAAAAGTTTAGATATTAAGTTGTGTTAAGTCATATTAAAACTTGGAAGATTGGGTTATAAGCGGGTTGAAAGTTGGATGATGAGAATATTAATTTTTTTCATAAGTTTAGTTTCCATGATTCCACAGTTATAGAAGACAAAATACAGATGTTTTTTTTTTTCCGT